AGCAGAAGCCTTCTAAAACATAAAATAATTCTGTATTTTCCCTCCCCTATACCTTACTACCACTTGTTAGGCTCCAGTGAATTACAGCTGAAAGAGCTGCAAACCTCAGGTTTTCTCTGAGGAGGAGTACTTAGGGAAGCCTACAGTATACAGTGGAGACAAACACATATAAACTAGAAGAAATGGAAAGATCGGGCATACAACACTAGACATAGCTCAACTCCTAACCAGATTAACATAAAATCTCACACTAAAAGCTTGTCTTAGTTTCTGTTATCAGATTATCATGCTCAACATTCAACAATAACAAAAAATTATAAGCCATGTGAAAAGGCAAGAAAAAATAGTCTGAAGAGAAAAAGTAAGCATTGTAGCCACACTCAGATATAACACATGTTTTAGAATTATCAGAGAGGGAATTTAAAATAGATGTGATTAATGTGCTAAGATCTCTAATGATAAAAGTGACAATGAGCAGGAATGGATGGGGATTATAAACAGAGAAATGTAAACTCTAAAAAAGATTTGTAAGGGAATTCCAGAAATCACAAACAGTGAAACAGAAGTGAAAAATGCCTTTGATGGATTCATCTGTATACTGGACAAGTCTGAGAAAAGAATCAGTGAACTTGAAGGTATGTCAACAAAAACTTCCAAAACTGTATACAAATACAAAAATGGGTTTAAAAACACAGAAAATAATATTTAAGAGTTGTAGCATGATTTCAAATAGTTTAACAAGTATGTATTTAGAAAATTAGAAGGAAAGAAAAAGAATATGGAGCAGAAAAAATATTTGGAGTAATAATGGTCAAGAATTTTCCAAAGTTAATGACATGAACTAAACCACAGATCTAAGATGCTCAGAGAATACTAAGTATGATTAATACCAAGGCACATCATACTCAAACTGAAGAAAATTAAAGATAATCAAAAAGGCCTGAAAGACGGCAGAGGTAAGGACAAAACAAACAAATAAAAACTTTATCTATAAAAAAAGAAGGATAATAAGTACAATGGACTTCTTGTCAGAAACCATGAAAGCAAGAAAAGAGTAGAGTGAAATATTTAAAGAGTTGAAAGAAAAAAACTTGCCTACCTAGAATTCTGTATCCAGTGAAATTAGTTTTCAAGAATTAAGGGCAAATAAGGACTTCCTCAAACAACAACCAAGGGAATTCATTGCTAGCAGACCTGCCCTGCAAGAAATGTTAAGAAATACACTTCAGGAAGGAAGAAAGTGATAGAGGACAAAAACATGGATCTACACAAAGAAAAGAAGAGCATTAGAGATGGAATAAAAGTAAAATACAATCTTTTATTTTTCTTATTCTTTATTGTCTGAAAGGTAACTGTTCAAATAATAGCAACAATATGTTGAGTGATATTGGATAAGTGAAATGAATGACAGTTGTGTCATAGGGGGTAGGAGGAAGACATTTGGAAATACTGTTTTAAGGTATTTGCACTACATGTAAAACATTATACTATTATTCATAGTGTACTTAGATTAGTTAAAAAGTCATATTGAAAACTTTAGGGCAACCATTAAAACCATTTAGAAAAGAAGTATTCATTGATATGTTAAGAGAGGACAGAAAATAAAATCATATAAATGCTTAATGAAAATCAGAAAAGGCATAAAAAGAGGGAAAGAAAGAAAAAAAACAAGTAATAGAAAACATGGTAAATATTGATTAAAATATATTGATAATCAGTTTAAATGTTAAAGCTCTAGGTCTATCCACCTCATTACAAATTGCTCAATTTGGTTTCTTTTTATGGCTCAGTAAGACCTAGAGTCTGTCATACAGAGTGAAGTAAGTCAGAAAGAGAAAGACAAATACCATATGCTAACACATATATATATGGAATTTAAGGGAAAAAAATGTCATGAAGAACCTAGGGGTAAGACAGGAATAAAGCCACAGATCTACTAGAGAACGGACTTGAGGATATGGGGAGGGGGAAGGGTGAGCTGTGACAAAGCGAGAGAGAGGCATGGACATATATACACTACCAAACATAAGGTAGATAGCTAGTGGGAAGCAGCCGCATAGCACAGGGAGATCAGCTCGGTGCTTTGTGACCGCCTGGAGGGGTGGAATGGGGAGGGTGGGAGGGAGGGAGATGCAAGAGGGAAGAGATATGGGAACATATGTATATGTATAACTGATTCTCTTTGTTATAAAGCAGAAACTAACACACCATTGTAAAGCAACTATACCCCAATAAAGATGTTAAAAAAAAGCTCTAAATACACTAATTAAAAGACAGAGATTATTAAAATGGATTAATAAAACAAAATTCAATTCTATGTTGTATACAAGAAATGCAACTTTAAATATAAAGACTTAGATAGATTAAGATAAAGGGATGGAGAAAGATATGCCATGCTAACAATAATCAAAAGAAAGCTGGAGTAATTACATCATATTCAGACAAAGCTCAGAACAAGGACATTTACCAAGGATAAAAAAGGGCATTACATAATGATAAAGGGGTCAAGTTTTCAAGAAGACATAACAATCCATTACATTAGATCAAGCAGGCAGAATATTGGTGGGATATATTTGACCCAAACAGCACCATAATTCAACTTGATCTAATCGACATTTATAAAATATTTTATCCAACAACAGCAGAATATACATTCTTCTCAAGTGCATATGTAAAGTCACAAAGATAAACACACAAACCAATTTAAAAGAATAACAATTACGCAAAGCATGTTCTCAGACCATATGGAATTAACCTAGAAATCAATAACAGAAAGATAGCTGGGAAGTCTGAAAATATCTGGAGATTAAACAACATGCTACTAAATAAATATGTTACATGAGAAGTCTCAAGAAATATTAGGACAAATTTTGAACAATGAAGATGAATATACACTTCATAAAATGTTGTGGGATTCAGCAAATGCAGTACTTTGAGGAAAATGTATAGTGTTGCCTGTGTATATTATTAAAAAAGAAAGATCTAACATCAATAATTTAAACTTCCATCTTAGAAAATTAGAGAAAGGCAGGCAATTTAGACATAAAGAAAACAGAAGAAACAAAATTTTAGAAATTAATGCAGAAATCAATGAATCGAAAACATAAAAATAAAGAAAACCAAATAAGCCAAAACTGGTTCTTTGAAAAGACCAATAAAATTGATATAATTCTAGCCAGGCTAACCAAGATAAAAAGAACAAAGATAGGATACATATTACAAATCTCAAAAATGAAAGAGTAGTCATCACCACCAGATCTCACGGACATTAGAGGATGGCAGAGGAATACCGTGAGCAATTCTATGCATTTATAACTTTGATGAAATGGACCCATACTTTGAAAGACACAAGCTACCAAAACACCTTCAAGGGAAAATGTTCTGAATACACCCACATCCATTAAGGAAACTGAACTGATAATTAATAACTTTCCAACAGAGAAAGTCCTAGGTCCAGACAACTTTACAGGTGAATTCTACCAATCCTTTGAGTAAGAAATTATATCAATTCTCTACACTCTTTTCCAAAAAATAGGAAAAGAAGAATTACTTTCTAACTCAATCTTTGTAGTCAGCACTACACTCATACCAAAGCCAGATTAAGACATGACAAGAAAGGGAAACTACAGGCCAATGTCTCTCAGCCCCCACTGGTAGGAATACATTGAACAGGCACAGGAGACAGCTGAAAGCACCCCCTCCACCCCTGTGGATAAATCTAGAACAACTTGAGCAAGAAGAGAAAGTAGTAACGGATTATAACTAAAAGCATAGCATACATGTTCATGACTACAAGCTGATATCAATGATTGGGTAAGTAAATAGAGGTGAGAGAAGAGGCCAATCTCCCTGCAGAAGAATTTCAAATGAGGAGGAAATCATTCCTCACTCCTTAAGTGTGGACTTTCTCGTGAAGAGTACATTAAAGAGAGACAAAAATTAGTAGGCTTCCAGTGAGAAACCTGACAGACAGACACTCCCTTAGTCAGGTGATCAAGGTTTACATCACTAATAATAAATCACCTTGAAAGTATGCAACTCTGATAAAATGTGTTGGAAACAGCACTTTCCCTCTCAGGGCTTTCTCTCAAAACACTGTGATCCCTGTCCAACAATGAGAAAAACACGGGACAAATTCCAAAAAAGGGCATTCTGCAAAACACCTGACAATACATCTCAGAACTCTCAAAGTCATCAAAACAAGAGTGCCTCTCACCCCCAGGTGTCATGTGCTATCCTAGATGGGAACTGGGACAGAGAAAGCCCACAGGCAAAAGCTTGACATTTGAATCAAGTATGGCCTTCCGTTAAGAAAAATGTGTCAACATTGGCTCATTAATTGTTGCAAGTGCAACATCTTGATGTAAGAGGCAAAAGAAAATGAGGAAAGCCTTTGTTTTGCAAGCATTTATGTTACAGTTTTACAACAAAGTGAGGTGATTAACATCTTTAATCTCTGTATTACAGAAAATTAGTCTCAGAAAGAGTTGCTGCTATGCTTAAAGCAAGTAAGACTCGTGGTTAGGACTTACTTCTCGTCAACACCAGGGTCTGTAGACTCAAGTTTCTCCAATAACCTAAACTCTAAATTTCCTTGGAAAACACTCAAATTTCTCCAGGCCAGGATATAATGAATACTAATAACTATGGAGGCCAAGCCCTGTTCTAGGCACTTGCTCATTTAATAGAGAAAATAATACTTAGTTCATGGAACACTTTGAAAATTAAACAAATCAGTGAATTTGAATGTGGTAAATTTAACAAAATGGTGAATTTTACATTAATATGACAAGCTAGTACTATAAATGGAGATTACACAGCTGTAATTTACATCATTTTTGTCATGTTATTCGTATTATTAGACATATCTCTGATATGTCTGGGTGCATAGAGAAGGGCCACAACATCCAGGTGCTTGGTGTTTGGACTCTGAGTCCTGGCTCTCTGGACCCCTGGTGGGGGCAGCATAAATATATGTGTCAGCAATCCAGGAAACTTACCAGGTAGACCATATGTGAGGGTGGCCCCAACACGAGTCGCCAAGCGTGATCACGGATTCTGAGGTTCAGAGTTCCAAGTAGCCTCAGGGCGGTGGCTTCTGTTCTCACCAAGTGGCAGTCGCAATGCTCCCTCACAATTTCCCTCCTAGATCCACGTTCACACGGGTGGTGTGGCCATTCCAGGGGAGACAGTGAGACAGATGCTGCCACCTGGATCTGGAGAGGGGCCCCTTCTCTCAGGCCAGATGACACCCAGTGAATTGGAGTTTTTTCAGAGAGTCAGATGAGTGTTTCCTCTGGGGCAAATGCAATTCCTGAGTCACAAGCTGTGAACACAGATCTTGGGCTCCAAGAAAACTTTGGCTTCACACTGGCAAAGCTCCCTGAAGTGGGTATTCTTAGTAAGTCAGCAGTACCAAGAATAAGGCCATATCCTCCTAGCAGCATCTGAATGCACTTGCCGGTACACTTTAATCATTCCTTGGCTTCTGAGAGAGACAGAGAGACTTGGGCTACAAAGCTAGACATTTTGCTTATTTGCACATTTTTGGAATCAGCATGTCTTCCCTTTTCTTTCCTTTCTATTAACACAGATGTGTACAAATGGCTCTTCCACGGGCTAAATTCATGCTCAATATAGCCCTTCTCAAGTTTCCAGTTGTTGGGTGAAGTTGTCCAGCACTTCTATCCTCTTGTTGTAAATCCTTCCAAATATAAACTCAGTCTGCTTTTACAAGCACCGTGTGTTTACTGCACATTTCCCACTTCTCCATTTGTGAGCTGCGCGAATCCCTCAGGCTCTAGCTTGGGTCTCTTTCTCTCTGCTCATCTGTTCTCCCCACGAAAGCTCGTCCACTCTCAGGGCTCTGACCAGCCCCACAAGCTTCTCCCCCAAATGTATATTGATGTGTCATGGGATCACAACACTTTAAGCCACATAAATCTGAGCTGACAGGCAATGTGTCTAAATAAAAATAATGACGATAAGCAGATAGATGACTTTTTACAGCCAAACAGCTCACTAGGAAGCTTTATTCTCACACAAATCTAATAGCCTTAAAGCCAAGCCCACGAGTTTCCCTGCTGTTCACCCATTCTGTGATACCTGCCCAAAGACTCCTGTGGATGGAAGCAGCATTCTCAAAATCACAAGGTTCTACAGGTCAGCTTGGTTGTACTCATTCCTTTAGTATCCACACCAGATGGCAAACTATATGAGTTCTTCCATTAAAATGTCTCTCACATCACTTCCTTTTCTCAGTTCAGATTGCTGTCATCCAAACAGATGATCTTGCCTCGCTTCCACCATAGTTTCTGACCTTGACTTCCCAGATTTGAGACTTTCTTCCTAAAATCCACCCTGGATCTGTCATGACACCCTCTCGTCCTAAACCTCCAGGGGTCTCCCACCCGCCCACATCAGGGTAGGCTCATTGTTTTGTTCCACCCCCTTTCCCCACCTGTCCATAACCACACACACCGCAGTCAACTTTCCATCCCAAATCCACACAGGAATCTCACTGTCTCCAGAAAGCCAGTTCTGCTTCTGTTTTTGCTGCTCCCTTGTTGGAAATTTCCCTGGATTCTCCACTATCTATCCACATCCTACCCCGTTGTGGAGGCCCACTCACAGTCTCTTCTGTATTGTATATTATTCTTCTACACAGTAACCTTTTCTTTCTAACTCAATTAAATGCTCTTTGGGATCCAGGGCCACTGTGTCTTGGAGGTCTGAATAACACCCAGGGTACTGCCATCCACCCTTCTCAGGAAGCTCTCATTTAGCACCGTAATTAGCATTTGATAACTTCCTGTTACAGCCCCTGTGCTGTCCCAGGCTTGGAGATGATCAGTGAACAAGAGAGGCATCATCCCTGGAACTTACCTGTGGCGGTGGAGAGGACATTGATAAAGGATCACAAAACTAAGTCATTGATTACAAACTCTGAAAATGCTCCTACGGAGGGGAAAGCAGAAGGGAGTATGGCCAGGACACTGAAAACCCCTGCAACTTATTTCAAATCATGTTTTTCCCAGAAACAGGAGATCTTATTTTTTTTGTTAATAACATTGGTGAGGGATTTATTTACAGAGGGGATTTCAACTGGTTTCATTTTTTTCATATCTACACACAGAAACTCCTTTCTATACAATTGTAGAACTCATCCAAGATTGAGCTAAGGATAAACACATACTTGAATTGCTTTCAAAGTCTGTCTGTATATATAAGATGCAACTGAGGGATGGAATAAATGTAAGTTAATCTCCAGCTACGGCGACGAAGGGACTGACCCTGCCGCTGCCACCATCCTATCGAAGTGATTTTTCCAGGGCAATTTTTGTTAGTAAGTTCGATAACAAGTCATGTTTTGTGCTCCTCTGCCCAGATCCTGCTCGGAAGAAACATGGTGACTTCTGCCTTAAGAAAGTGCCTCAGATCCTGTCTGACAATGTGAACTCACAATTACACGGGATTCCCCAAGTACGTAATCACCACAGAATTACACAGGGTTAGGGTTAGGGTTAGGGTTAGGGTTAGGGTTAGGGTTAGGGTTAGGTTAGGGTTAGGGTTAGGGTTAGGGTTTGGTTCAAAAACTATTAGAACGGCAGTTTCCTACTGTAGGTTTTATGGACTTTTAGAAGAATCCACTGATTTCATTTCCCATCAATTCTCATTTCCTGTCAATTTTCTTTGAAAATTCATTTCCTGCTGTGTGCCTGTTTCTCAGTTTATCCCATCATCAGTTCACGACCAGTTGTGGCCTTCTCCGTTAGCTAGGAAGTTATCATTTCAGTGTAGTTTTTATGGAGCTAGAGGTTGCTCACATGTCCCAGCGTTTCACGAGGGTGAAGTCACTGGGTCTCTGGGGGCCGCATTCATGTCCCCAGGACGTCCACTGCTGCTTCTGCCCGAAAGCTGGGTCGTGGTCCAGGAGCCTTGTTGTCAGGAATGAACTGGTTTGTTCTAACTCCCAGGTGTAATTCTGAGGAAAATCTGTTTGTTTGTTTAATCATTGAGATAGACATACGCAGTGCAGAGGAGACACAAATCTAGACTTTACTGCTAGACAAATAAGCACATGCACATGTACAGCCACTTCTGGGATCGGGCCACACCCCCCCCCCCCCCCCCCCCCCCCCATCCCCAGATGGCACCACCCGCTTGGAATCAACGCCTGAGCTCAGAGCCCCGCACAGTCCAGGGTGCGGCCAGGGGCTGGGCAGGCCGGTGCCTGGAGCCTCAGGAGTCCCACCACCAGCAGATGGTGAGGCCTTGAGTGAGCTATTGATCACCCTGGACCTCAGTTCTCCTGGCTGTACTGCAAAGAGGATGTGTCCAGCGTCAGGGTCACCGTGTGAATCTCGGAGCTTGTGGATGTAAATCTCTTCTCTGTGTCTGACACATCAGGGCTGGTTCCCTTCTCCACACTCACCGCCCACCCTGCAGCCAGGAAACTGCAGCGAGGTGGCTGCCGACACGCTCTGCACCGTCCACAATGTTACTGCTTCCTGCTGTGTTTGCCGTCACCAAAACCCGAGGACTGGGCAAGGGCCACCTCCGCAGCACTTCTCATGGTGCAGGCCTCCTAAGACCGCCAGCTGTGGATGCCTAAGGATGACCGCACAGATGTAAGTATTTCCATTTGGAACCTACTAGAACAAAATACATATGCTTGTATACGTGCATATGTGTGTCCATACATGCGTACGCATGTCTAGGTATGTATCTGGGTATATGTGTTTAGGTAAACGTATGTGTGTCCACATGCATGTACGTGCATGTGTGTATGCATGTGTAAGTGACCATGTGCACGTGTGTGTGTCATGCACGCAGATGTGCAAATGCATGTGTGTTTAGAATGGTGCTTGGAAACATGCGTTTTTAAAATGTTGTTGGATATTCTTTTGACACATTCGCATTTGAGAACCACTATGAAATATTTGATATTTCATTTGGGACTTCATGAATTGTATTTGGTGAGTAATTTGGTGTTTTTCGGAGAAGTGATGGTGACTTTCCTGCAGTGGATACCCAAGATCTTCAAATTCACCATCCAGCTGGCACTTTCCCCGTGTCCTCTCTACACCTGCCAGATAACATCCAATTCAAAGTGAATTTAGTAACTGTCTCAGTGAGAAAGGCTGATCCCAAGATACATTTTTCAAGATGACTCTTTCATAGAAACACAAAGCTAAGCCACCTATAGGTGGTAACCTCAACTCAAATGAGCAAACCATCGCTGACCGCTTACCATGGGCCAGCAGTGTGGCATGAGGTCAAGGTCTTGCCCTCAAGCTTCTCAGTTTAGTCTCAATATTTGCTGACTTACAATTTATCCCTTTGTTCACCTGCCGTCTGCAGGCGGCCCTCAGTCTCCACGGCCCAGCAGATGATGTGGCTTCATTGCCAGTTCCACCAGCTTATTCTAGCATCCACCTCGTCAGACCTGGGTGCCAGGGGCCCCGTGTCTGTACCCTTTTAAATCAGGTTGCCTCTGGCCACCTGCCCTACATTCCTAAACTTGCAAAGGGGAAAAGGCTAAGACTTCCTCAGAATCAAGGCATTTCCATTAGTAAAATCTGTATTTTTCTGTTCAATACAGGTTGAGTTTTAAAAATATCCTATTTGGCCATTTTCTGATTATTCTCTTCTAAGTTCATAATGAAAGGCAGCTTTCTGTTAAATCACGAAAGCCAGTTAACCAATTTCCTTTTCAAAGACAGCGTGGTTATTAGGAAAACATACTTTCGACATGAGGCACTCAAAATCCGTGACCTTACTCCCATCTGTTTCATGTAGAAAATAGCTGAGATGATCATGTCTCTCTGGTCCCAGTGTGAGTAGAGACCCCTCTGCTGGCAGCGTTTGCATCTGCTGTTACCCTGTAGAGTCCTGCTTTCACAACTAGGCAGAAGCCCTTCAAAGACTGACATCCTGTCCTATTTGTGCCCAATTCAGCAAATATACTCTGAGGGCCTGCTGGATGCCACGTACTTTTCTTGGTGTGGGGATAGAGAAGCAAACAGAGAGGCAAAGCCCTTGCCTCATGGAAATCGCTTTCTGGTGGAAGAGATGGGCATTCAGTGTAATGAATAAGTACAGTTTATAGTATTTTAGGAAGTAAGGAGTGCTGTGGCGATGAAGTAAAGCAGAGAACGGCAGCCCGGAGAATCCCCAGCACTACTCAAACGTTATTGAGCAAAACTATATTCAACCAAAAGGAAATAGAAGTTTGAAAACATTCTGACCGTGGAAGATAATATTTAAACAATTTAATAGTGTAGTATAAAAATGCCTCGTTAACCGCAACAAAGAAAATGATGAAGGATGTAATAGTGCCTGTAGGACAATGAAGGAGTAATTTCCAGCATGTAGAAGGCATGCCATCAACCTTGTTCCATAAGGAATAAACTGTGAGTAATATTACTTGCTATGTACCAATTCCTGGAATCCTACTCAGAACCCAGTGGGTGCTAAATAAATATTTTTAATCACTAAGTGAACGAGAGAGGAGGTTGAAGATGGAGGAGATCTCATTTTTAACAAACGAGATTGGGGTGAAATCTGACGCACTTGGGCACCCTAAGGAAAGAATCGAAGGTCATGATTGAGGACAAGGGGTCTGCAAATGTACCTCTTTGTTGAAAAAACATCTGAATAACCCATGGCAGCTTTACATTTTCTCTTTGCTCATTTACAGCTGGGAACAGACTATCATCCTCATTTGGACAAAGATTTATTTATCTTAATTTTTAAAAATACTCTAATGATTTGTTTAAATATTTTCATATCTCAGTATGCTTGGAAAGCCTTGAAGACAGGATGGCTACGTGAAATCACATACACACACTCACACACCCAGTGGTATTAATTGGAGCTTAGTGGGTTTTTCTTGGTGGGGGGGTGCTTCCATAGTGAACAAAACTCACTTTGCCAGAAACCACATCCTTTCTTCCTTTGGTAAAACATTAAGCTCCTTCCTGACAACCTGGTTCTCGCACTGCTTCCCTCACAGCCCCCACCCGCTCCGGCCTAGGTCTACCCTGACTGTCTGGGTGAATCGCGTGCTCCGTCCCCCAGAACAATGTTTGGTCCAGAAGAAACGGTGACCCCATCAGGCCAGGCAGCTCTTTCCA